AATAAAAATAAAAATAAAAATAAAAATAAAAATAAAAATAAAAATAAAAATAAAAATAAAAATAAAAATAAAAATAAAAATAAAAATAAAAATAAAAATAAAACTTACCGATTATAATAATTTAATAAATCTTTAAAAGATTTTAAAAATAAAATATTAAAAAATAAATTATTTTTAATAATAAAATTTAATATTTTATTATAAGCTATTTTTTCGTTAAAATCTTTAATAATATTATTTCGAGCTCTTTTTCGAATATTAGAATTTATATTTAAATTCTTAATATTTTTATTTTTAAAAGGAAAATCTAATCTTGTTTTTTTATTAATAATTATTATTTTAAAAAATATAAAAATTAAAAACTTACTATTAGATTTATTTTCATGAATTTTTAATTTTTTATTATAAGCAATTTTAGGATATTTTGCTTAATAATAGCGTTGAAAATTAAAGGTTTAAAAACCGTGGACTTTTTCGATTTTTTCGTATTTATACCTATTTTTAATTAATATAAATATAAATATAAATATAAATATAAAATTTATATAGTATAATTTATTAACACTTTTTTTTTTTAAATAATTGATAAGAAATAATTTAAAAATAAATAATTTATATTGAAAAATATAAATTTTTTAATTTTAAAATTTAAAATTCGAATTATTATATTTTGAATTTTTATATTTATTAAATAATATATTTTTAGAATTATTAAATTGATAATTTGAAGTAGAAGTTGTATTAATTAAGTTAAAATCTATTTTTATATATATTATAAAATAATATAAAATATATAAAATAATATAATGTTATAATATAATAAAAGTAAATAATAATATAATATTATAATATATTTTAGTTTTAAAATAATTACGGAAGGTTTGATTTTATATATAAAATATTTAAAAATTATTTTTCTTTAAATCTTTTAAATCCTTTAAATCTTTTAAATCTTTTAAATCCTTTAAATCTTTTAAATTTTTTAAACTTATAAATATAATATATTTTTTAAATTTAAATATTTATAAAAATAATAATATAACATTGTTTTTTTACGTTATAATTATTTGCCCAATCATTATTTATAATGAATTAATTTGATATTAATAAATTTATAATTTTACAAATTATTTTTTTTAAAGAAATTCGACCATTATTTACATATATATTTAAATTATATAATATAAATGATTTAAATATATATAAAAATAATATTATATATAAATTTATAAATTAATTTATTGAATTTTTTATTTAATTAAAAAAGGTATGTTTATTTTTTTTATTTTTATTTTTTTATTTTTTATTTATTTATTAATTTTAAATAGGAAAAAAAAATCGAAGAGTTTTTAAAATTACGAAATATTTTTTTATTTTAATTTCGACCATTATTTTAACAAATTTTAAAAATATATAATTTTAATATTTTTAAAATATACGAAAACGACAAAATATTATACGAATTTTCTTTTAAATTTATAGAATTTTCGATTTAATTATAAAAGGTATACATAATAACTTAAATCTAATTTTTAATTTATATATTAACTATTAAATTAGTTATTTAATTAAATATTATATATAATAATTTTAAAATAATTTTATAATAAATATTATTAAATTATATTTATTTTTTATAAATATTATTTTTAATATCTTTAACGTATTTATAGGGTATTTACAGGGTAACTTTTATAAAATATTATTTATTATTTATAAATTGTATTTTTTAGTACCTTTAAAACATTTACAGGGTATTTATAGGGTAACTTTTATAAAATATTATTTTGATTTATAAATTTTATTTTTCAATACTTTTAAAATATTTAAAAGATATTTACAGGGTATTTACAGGGTAACTTTTATAAAATATTATTTTGATTTATAAATTTTATTTTTTAATATTTTTAAAATATTTAAAAGATATTTATAGGGTATTTATAGGGTAACTTTTATATAATATTATTTATTATTTATAAATTGTATTTTTTAATACTTTTAAAACATTTAAAAGATATTTACAAGGTATTTACAGGGTAACTTTTATAAAATATTATTTATTATTTATAAATTTTATTTTTTAATACTTTTAACGTATTTATAAGGTATTTATAAAGTAAATTTTATTAAATATTATTTAATATTTAAAAGTTAAATTTTATTAAATATTATATATTATTATATAATATTTATTTATTTTATTTATTATTTTATCATTTTATCATTTTATCATTTTATCATTTTATTATTTTATCATTTTATTATTTTATTATTTTATTATTTTATTATTTTTTTTATTTTTTTATTTTATTATTTTATTATTTTATTATTTTTTTATTTTTTTATTTTTTATTTTTTTATTTTTTTATTTTTTTATTTTTTTATTTTTTTATTTCTTTATATAAACTTTATTATAAAAATATAAAAAAAAATATTAAAAATTCCGAAAAATTAGTTTAATTTATATTAAAATATTAATATTACGTAATTAAAATTTTTTAAATTTCGGATTAATATTTAGTCCGATGCACGTATATTTATATATCAACTATTTTTCAAAACTTTTAAAAAAATTCGGAAAAATCCCAACTTACCTTTATTAAATAGCCTATAATTTGCTAATAATTTTGGTATATTTTATGAATATCCCGGATCAATATTCGTC